CCGCCACAGCCAAGGTGGGTGCTGGGGTGCAGCCTCACAGCCCCCCACGAGCTCCGAGGCCGCATGCCGGCAGAGTTGGGAAGCACCAGCAGGTTTCCAAACACTAAAAAGCTGTGGGGTGACTACTGGTCGGCATGGGCAGCCTGCCCACCCGCCTGCCCTCCCTCCGCTGCTGCTGGGGGCTTCCATCCGGTAGATTTGGCTGCTGGCAAACAAGCAGCCCAGGCAAGACCAGTTGGTCGCCCTCGCTGTCAGTGGGAGGGCTCTGGAGTTGCATCCCATCCTTCCATCAGCTCTTTGCCTTCCGAGCTCAGCTGGGCAGGACGGTGCAGGGATGCCCTGGTTAAGCCCAGGGCTGCAGTGGTTTGTGGCTGCCCAGAGAGCAGAGCCCAACCTCTTCTGGGCACCACAGTGTCTTTGGGGAGCAACTTGACCTTGTTCTGCTCAGGATTAATGCTTGAGCGTGGTTTTAGGGGGAGGGAGGGAAGCAGGCTCCACTCTCCCATCCCAAATCTTTCAGACTTTTGCAGAATAAGGGGAGAGCCTCAGTGCAGACTGTATGGTTTAGCTCTGTTCTTTTTACTCCAGGTGACTCTGTAAGGCTTGAAACTGTGACTGGCCCTGTCTGAGCCAAACCCAACCTATTCCAGCATCACCCACCTCCTAGAGCAGGTCAGCCAGGGACCTCGGAGGTAGGAAACAAACAGTGGTCCTGTGACTGGGCTGCCCTCCTAATGCAGACAGAGCCCTCCTGGCTGGAGCCTGGGACAATGGCAGCAGCAAAATTGTAGCCCTAACCATGCTGAGCCCTCCTGCCCTCTGGGGCCTTCCCACGATGGCTGGAGCAAGGAACATGCCTGGCATTGCTACGGCAAAACGGGCTGGGTGACGCCAACCAACAGTGCTCTGACTCATCCCTGTGGCACGCGGATCACCGAACGGTGGCAGAGCCCGGCTCGCCGCAGCCCTACCTGGGGTCCCCTTCTGCAGCGACCACCGTGACAGCCCAAGGAGGGTCAGGGAGATGTTGAGAGCAGCCCACCTGCCCCACAGTGACAAAGGCATCCCTGACAGCTGTCTAACCTGTTTTTAAAACCCTCCCATGTTGCCTCCCTGTATCATGGACTCCCACCTTAACCTCTACCTTCACATCGATATCCCCTGCTGCAGTCTAAGCTTGTTGCTACACGTCACGTCCAAGCAGAGACAGGACACCTTAACGTCCTTCCTCCTTGCAGCTGCAGAGGCTTAGCAGGACCAGCCATAATTTTATAACACGTCCCTCCTGTTCCTGCCTCTCTTGCCATAGGAAGAGCAAACCTTTCCGCCTGTTTCCATAGCAGGGTCTTTCTGTGCTTATCATTTTGACCCTGACTGTTTCTGCAGTATCCCTTTCCCTGGGGGAGTGCCCTGGACTGTGCTTACTAGAAAGGCATTAAAATATTTGCTATGATATTCCTCTTCTAGATATCTCTGTTTCCGTTGCTTTATTCGTGTTATCTGTGCTGAGCAGCACAACTCTCCAGCGATTGTCTGTGCTCAGGTTCCGCGGCCGTGCCGAGTCTCTCTGAGCAGCTGAACGCCCACCTCGCTCGTTTGCCCCCCTGCCAGTGTATTTCTTTGCATTTGCCCACACACAACTTCATTTACCACCTGTTCACCTGTCTTGAGCAGATCTTGAGCTCTCCAGACTCCTCTCTAGCGTGAACCAGTCGAACCAACCTCGTACCATCAGCAGTTTCCCACCCTCCCCCAACCCTTACCTTCTTTTCTGGGTGAAAACACCACCAGATGGAGCCTTTTTGCCACGACGAAAACGAACTGCTAATTGTTATTTTCCTTTTCTCTTAATCACCCACATTATTGACATGTCACTGTCCTCTAGGCTGGTTGCCTGGTTTAGTTGTGTCTCCAGCAGGACTTTTTCAGAGGACCTTGGAAAGAAAACAGTACATCAGCTTTTATTCACTACTTCACCGACTCACTCCAAGAACTCTAACAGTTCAGAGAGAACTTTTGCTTGTACAAGCTGTGCTGCTTGTAATTTATTCTCCTCTTCCAGATAAGGTGTTTCACCTTGCAAACCAAATTCAGCTGTAAGGCCAGCAGTCTTGAAACAAAGAATGGTTTTCAGCTTTGTGGCAGATGATCAAGCCTTGGCAAAGTCTGTGATAGCAGGACAGAGAAGGGAACTTCTAAAATAGGTGCTGTAGCAAAGGAAAGTTTCCATTTTATCTGTTTTCTCAGGGGATTTGCAGGGAGGGTTGTCTCAGGATATCAGCATATCGTCTCCCTCTGCTCTCACCTCTCCCAGCCTTCCTGATACTGCTTACCAAGTGGAAAAAGGCTTGAACTGGGACTGTGAAGGGGTGACTGGTCTGTAGTACTGGGTCCTGTCACTGGATGGCAACAGCACTGTAGACACAGCAGATGGGTGCTGGCTCCCAGGGCAGAGGGGGGGCTGAGCTCCATGGAAGGGGAACACCCCCTCCCCCTTTTCACCCAGGTGACCTGGGTACCCATCAGCTGTGGTCCGCACACCCAGAGCTGTGGGCACACACCGTGCTCTGCCCCATAGCAAAGGCATCACTGGTTTGTTGTGGGCTGCTGCTGAGCATAGTGCTGGGCGCTTTGAGGGGGGCAGGACTGGGGTACAGCAGGGTTGGATTTGCTGGGATCGAAGCAGACTGAGACAAGAAGGGTTGGCCCTCCTCAGAAGCTGATGCTCTTGGTAGGGTTGGCGGACCCTCCCCAGGGAGCCGCAGCGGGTATCTACCTCAAAGCCCACTCGGCAGAGTTTGGGCAGGGGCCCTGGGCATGGTACCACGGGCCACCTTGACTCTGAGACTGGCAGTGCCAGGAGCCCCATTTTTACCAAAAAGCACATCTCTGCTATAGCAGCAAGAGCTCCAGATAAAACAACGTTCGTAGAATAACCCTAAAATTCCCTTACAGGGCTGAATCAGCCAGTTTATTCTGCAGGGATAAAGCCCTGATCAACTACAATATTTTTTTTTTTAACCAGCGTGAACTTCGTTTAACCACCAACCCAGAGACATCTTGTACCTTGCAGGAAAGCAAGCCCACTGCACCGAACAGCAGGGTGCCACTGATGCCACCTCCTTGGCTACTGAGGTGCTACAGGGGGCAACTGCCCCCAGGGCTTTGGCTTCTTGGTGAGCAAGGGAAACAGGGGTGGGGAGCCCTCAAACTGGGAAACGAAGGCAGATGAGGAGAAGGCTCTGCCACGGCTGTTGGCAAGGAGAGGACTGTTCGCTGAATCATTTGGGTTGGAAGGAAAGTCTCACCCCCCGCTCAAAGCGGGGCTACCTCGATGGTTGCAGGGTTTGGTGGAGCAAGCATTACTAGCATTAGAGCCCCATGCTGGGGTTGCATTTGGGGAAAGACTGGTTCTGTGATTCCTACAACTTAGCTGCACCTGCTGGTACCAGCACCTGCCCAGTCTGCTCACTCCTAGACTGGGTAGGGAGAGGAACCAGAGACAGGCTTGTGCTATTCCCTTCTCCACCCAGCCCCAGCATCAGCTGATGGGATGGTCTGGGATGGTTTCAGCACCGCAGCGCTCAGCGAGGGCTGAGGTCACCCCAGCAGTGGCAGAGGGGGGTCTGGGCTGTCCAGGTGGTGGTTCCAGCCCCCAGGC